ACGTTTAAAAGGTTATTTCACAACAAAAAAGAGACAAAAATAAAAAAACAACGTTTAAAAACGTTAGTTGACAATTCAATAAAGCAAGAAACAATTCAATAAAATCATATTAAAAATAAATTTAAAATTTTTACTGCGAAAACATTATAATTTGATATGAAAAGTAAGTCCTTTTCGACTGTTTAGAAAAGAAATATAGAATTTTTAAAAAGACTATGTAAACACGTTACTTGACATCTTGTCACTTGAAGTGTTTATCTTTGACAAAAGCATGTGTCTTTTATAAAAGATAAGATCTAAAGTTTTATTAAAAATAATCTTGTTTTTTATATTAAAAGCGTTAACGCATCGGTCTAATTAATAAAAAAATACAGTATAGACAGGGTTTTTTTAGCTAAAATAAAAAAGAAGGAAAGTGAGATTTCGAAATTGAATGAATTAAATTNTTACGAAATTAGGTTTCATTTTCAAAGGAAAAGAGTATTAAAGATTTTCTTATTTTACATAATTTCAAAGAACAATTATTAATACTGTACATTCGAAAAAATTACGTCTCATTTGGAAATTCAAAATTTTAAACGTCTCGTATATTTCAATTTTATTAAAACAATAACTGAAAATGGAGAAATCTTGAAAGTATTTATCTATGAAAGTTAAAAGTGGCATCTTAAATTCTTTCACATTTTATCATTGTATAAAGTGTTCTTTTTCTCTTCTATAGGGTAGTAACTTTCAAACTGTTCCTGTTTTAGTTTTGTTGAAAAGAGTTTTACATCGTGTGTTGTTTGAATGGTAGTAGCTGATATTGCTTTGTTTGTTGCCAAATTATACTTATTGTTTTCAAGTTAAATGTCTTTGTATTTTTTAATATGTATTCTAGATATGTATAGTTTGATTTTAATGTATTATGTTTGTAGAATTAATGGTATGCAAGCTGTATGAGATCAAAATATGTTTGGGACTTATGAGTCCCATCAGGCCTGAGGGAATCTTTTTTGTAAATGTTAGAAATTTGTATTTTCTACATTGTGCTTTATAAATTTATGAATTTGTTTAACATTTTTATAGTTAATATATATATAAGACTTTATACATATATAAATAGATAATTTTATATAAAAAAATTCCCATTTGATATTGATACACATCAAAACCATATACAAAATGCACATTACGTAAAGTTTTCTTGTGTGTAAATGGGAAAAAATAGTTTTTTACATCTTTAATAATCATAAATTATTAAACCAATAAATTTTATTTTAGTTTTGTCATGCATTTTAATTTTTTTTAATATTTTGACCTTATTATACAGTAAAAGTTAACAAATACTTAATATATATAATTATGCATTTAATTTGCAAATTTCTATGATAAAAGATCTCTATATAAAACAAAAATATTTTATTTTCGAAATATTAAACAAGAAAAAACTTGTTAAATCCAAATGTGCGCTAAAGCCTGACGGGACTAATAAGTCCCATATTTAAAAAATTTTTAATTAACATTTTAATTTTTTTTATTTACTTATCTTTTAATAAACACCTCTTCTGATGATAAAATGAGAAATATAAAAATTTTTTATCAAAAAATAAAAATTTAGGCAATAAAGGGTTAATAAATATGAAACGTATTACAGGAAAGAATATATTTTTAAATTGTTTGTGAAACAAAAAGTTACTACGCTTTTTACAAAAATGTAGTTAATTACGTTGTAAGAATTTTAATTTTAATTTTAAATAACTCATGTTTCCGATCTACTTGTGTGGATTTTTTTTTTTACTTCCTGTCCATTGGTCCCGTGTATGTTATTCTTTCTCATGAATAAAGTTAGTCGTGCTTTAGACTCTGTGCAGTTGTGACGTGTATATGTGTTCGTATTCCCTTGCATATATACGTGCGTTCTTGGCGTTCTTCTGTCGTCAGATCCGTTTCAGGTTCCATTATGAACTCTTCGATGTTCTTTATTTCTCAGATATGATTTTTGTTACTCCTTCAGCTGCTTCAGTCTTTTTGATTATACAGTATTTTTCTTAGATAAGATTGAATTGCGGCCTACTGTAGACCTGTTCACGCTATACTGCACAGCAACATTAGTCATCTTCTGCCCACTCTCTATCTTTGCTATTATACTCTCACCTTTCGAAAAGAAAAACAGACGCAAAACTTAACGAGTGCCTACCCGACAGTCTCGCGAATACATAAAAGAATTGTTTTGTCAGAAAAATAAAAGGCTGGAATTACAAGAAGGAATACTATCCGATCGGTATATACCGGCTTGAGCGTCGATGTCGACGTCTCCCATACCTCCGAAAAGTCTCGAATTGTTGCCCGAAGACAAGGGAGACCAATCGGTATTCATTATTTTACGTCGCTTCTTCTTGTGTTTGTTCTGTGGGGTGTTCGTTATCCGATCATGTGTTCGTTGTCCGAACATAAAAATCTTTCGCGAAAGTGTTCGTTATCCGATTTGTTCGTTATCCGATCTGTTCGTTAACCGATCACCCACCGTATAATTAATACAAAGTTAAATAAATATTTTAATTTTTATTTTAGTGTAATATATTAAAATTTATTCAAATTAAATCGAAAACAAATTAATATTGTAATACATTATGTCTTGAGTACAAAATTTTGAAAAAGAAAAAAATTTAAAGAATTAGTGAAAAAAAATCCAGCAACTAGTTGTTTAACTTTTCCGGCAACATTTAGTGGCGCCATCTGTTATGATATTTTATTTAAAAACTTTTTATATTTTTAACTTTTATAAAATGGCAAGAAGCTTAATTTTGAGGGTACGAATGGGTTTTATATAAAATTGTAAATGCTAATAACAAGTAAAATCGTCATTAAATCAGATCCTATTGGAGATACACACGATCCCCTTTATCACCCCATCTCCTCGACTTTTAATCACCAAAATTTAATAGCATCAATCTCCCTAATACAGAAACCTCCATGCAAAATTTCAGGAAATTTCGATAAAAATCACAGCAGTTATTAAGCTTCAAATAAGGTAAACAAAATCGTGCCTCTCACACTAACATTCATACATATAGAAAAAAATTCCGTTTTTTGGCATTTCTCGGCGTTTCAAAGTGTCCTAAGTCCAAAACTATAAAAATCTTGGAGGGCCATTTTTTGACAGATTGCCATACTTTCCGTCTTTTACATTTAACAGCCAGAATAGTAAGAACCACAGATTAAGAACAATTTTCACGTAGATTACTGGCATATACAACGATGTGCTCGATTATATTTAAGTTTTTTATATTATAGTTTGTAAAATTACGCTTTGTGTTACGTTTACGTTTCAAAATTATTACTTTTCATAGCTGAGTGTATCTAATTTTGTGCTAAAACAATCATATGGAAGTATAAATCATGTTGTAATAATCATATATTTAAGTAGAATTATATCTATGTACTGTACACGATGAGTACAATATGATTTAATGATTTGAAATAATTAAAATTGTATATGACAGATTAAAAAGTAATAAATTTATGGAAAGAAAGTTGGTGCAATGTGCTTATATTATTTAAATAACTTCAAGAAACAGTTTAAGTTAAGAAATTAGGTTTCATTTTCAAAGGAAAAGAGTATTAAAGATTTTTTTATTTTACATAATTTCAAAGAACAATTATTAATACTTTATATTCGAAAAAATTACGTCTCATTTGGAAATTCAAAATTTTAAACGTCTCGTATATTTCAATTTTATTAAAACAATAACTGAAAATGGAGAAATCTTGAAAGTATTTATCTATGAAAGTTAAAAGTGGCATCTTAAATTCTTTCCTTGATTGAAAAAAACAATAATGTTAAAATTTAGTATTGATTTGTAATGAATTTTACATAAATCACATTGAAATACAATTCTGACAATAATGAAACATTGATTAAACAAACTTTCAATATGAAGACGTTAACAAATTATTAGACAGTTTACGTTAAATATTGTAATGATACTTCAAGTCAAATATGAAAAATTCTTAATCAAAATTCCATGTTAATTGTTATCAGGAATCTTTCTTCTGTCAATTTTGTACTGAAATAATACATGCAATCTTGTATAAACATGTTATTAACGTAAAATGCACAAAAAATCATTGAACCATTTTTAATCGATACTCACCTTACTTATTATATTATATTCTATAGTGTTTTTCTTATTATCCTTTTCTTCTAAGTTCCTTTCATCTTTTATGTTCACGTGCTTGTTAAATATAGAAGGCAACTTTACATTCCAAGCTAAAGAAATGTGCGTTAGAATAGAATTGGTCATGTGTCTAACTGCTTTAGCTTCCCAATGAATTCCGTCCTTTTTCCTCTGATGTATATGCATTTGTAAACGATAATGAAGATCTAATATGTCCAAACCATACTTGTTGAATACCTTTCGAGCGTATATGTTGGCTTCCATTACATGAAATCTAAGTGAAAACTTCAGGAATTCCAACTCTGGCACCAGAAATCCTCCTTTCACATCTTGCGATATCGGTAATGTGGTTAACCAGATAACTAAGCAATCTTCTGGAAGAATTTCACGAAATTTCCTGGCTATGATTTGCAGATTTATCTTGTAATTTTCTACTCCTTTCGGGCCCCATCGTGTAATGTCCCATAAACAGGAATTAATAAGCACTATATCTACTGTATTTCGTTGTAAGATTTTTAGAATATTTTCCATATAATCGTCATAAACTCTTGTTATAAAAAAGAATCTTATCTCATAATCTTTAAACTGATATAACCTTTCTTCTTTATAAATCCTTTCAATCGTTAATTTATCGCAATAGATTAATTTATCGCCCATAAAAGAATCTTCCATTTTCGCTTTCAATCCTGATTCGGTACTGAATAAATTATCTTGAGACAGAGCTACTAGATCTTTGTAAATTGCTCTTACGTTAGAATCGCCTAACAAGATTACACGCTTGTTACTGAAAAGTCGATCCAAGTCTGAATTTAGAAAAATTTCGGGTAAAGGAATAGCCATTTTGCTTATCGAATTATAGAACAAAAGAATAAAAACTGCTTTTTAGAAAATCCGTTTGAAATTCGAATTTAAACGCCTGAATAATTTGAAAATTTTATTTATTTTTTACTAAAATTCAATCAAAAATTTTCAAATTTTAACAATAAAGTTTAAATAAATATTGAACAGATTCGATGATAAAATAATAAATTTTATTTATAAAAATAAATTTACATTTTACAGTATTTATAAAGTATTGACTGGAAACATCTATCTGAAGTTGAAAAAATAATTTAGAACAATTAATTTGCACTTCTTAGGATTTCAACACTTCAAAAAAAGCACATAAACATTGTAAAAGTTAAATTTCTTTCTTACTAAAAGGGATTGAATGGATAAACTCATACATAACTACTCAAGACATAACTAAGTCTTACAATGATAACCCTTTTGTGTCGTATCCTATCGAGAGGCTTGATTCATCAAATTATCATTCATAGAAACTACGAATGAAGATGATCTTTATAGAAAAAGAGCTTTGGACTGTAGTAGAGGGAAATGCTGTTGGGCCTACAGAACCAGAACTTCATGCTAGATGGGATGCAAAATCCCAATGTGCTGTAGCAACGATCTTATTAGGAGTCAAGAATACAGAACTAAATCATGTACAGTACGTAACTATACAAGTTCTACGGCTGTATGGGATAAGTTAACGGAAGCACACGAAGGAAACAGATTAGCCAGATACCTATATTTAATATGCAAGTTCAATAAAACAAAACAGAAAGCACAAAAGAATTTATTACTACATTAATTGCAATCGCTAAACAACTTGAATTGGCTACTGAGGAAGATATTATCCCTATGTTATGCCCAGAACGTTACAATTATTTGATAGCAGCACTTGAATCTAATTCCAATATCGACAGTAGTAGTTAAAAATAGTTTGTTACAAGAACAAGTATGACGCTTATAGTAGGAAAGAAACAAAGATACAGTCATATTTACTGAACTATCAACACAAGATAGCAAAAAGCAAAGATACAATGCACCACAAGAAAGAAAGAATAATGAAAAAAATCGTCTTTTATTTGCTTTAAATTTAATGGGGAAAAGCCGATCACAAAGTTGCAGCTGTCGATCCACGAACTCAAAAAGAACTGTTACAACAACAAATATAACTGAAAATAAAGATAGAAATGAAGCGGAAATTGCTTTAGCAATTGTATTGTTCTCATTAATAAACGTTTTCTTTCAAATGTACTGTATGGTGTTTAGATAAAGGGCAACAGCAATATCATATTTAAGAAAGAACCATAACCGCAAAGGGACACCGTCAACTGGGGGACAAAACAAGGTATGAACATTAGAGAAAATACAAATTTTTTGTTTTCTTTATAAAAATCATCATTCTTTTGATTTACTATATGGTAAATTTAAATAATATTTTAAAAACGAGTTAAACATTTTGTAATTTTAAAGATTCTGTAATTAACAAACATATTTATAGCCTACATGCTACGTACATTAAAACAAAAGAAAAGACATGAAATTCAAAACAAACTTTTTTATTTTAAATTGTTTAATTCATATTACAATTGTATGCAATGCTACGTAAATATTCGATTAGGTTTTCCGTATCATAATTTAAAACTTTTCTCAAGCTCTTTTAGCCAAAAATATATGTAAAATTGCTTCTAAATAAGTTAAATTTTTGTATAACGATTTTTTTTTAATTTGTAAAGACCGTTGATCATTAAAAGTCGATTACTCCCTCTGGGTCGAGTTCGAATTTAGGTTCAATTTCATGTATCAATCTGTAAACCTTTTATAAAACCGTGGCCCAAGTATGAGAAATGGTAGTCGTTTTAAAACCATCGTGTAATCTGTCCATACGTGAGCACAAGAAAGGAGAGAGACAGATTAGGTCAAAATGTAGTCGTTGACAGATAAAAGATTTACAATTAACGAATGTCGTAAATGTTAGAAAGGTGATAATTTTGACTAATTGTTGAGATTTTATTTTATTAATAAGTCGTTCAGTTGGAATTTGAAGAACTGTTAATATAGTGTTTAAACATTACTAAAAAAATTAGTGTGTTGCCGGAAGTCGATAAAGGCTCAAAAAAGAAAGATATTGTATGGAATTTCTGTAAGTAGTTTATCGACTATAACAACAAATCGAGAATTAATTTTGAAATTAACCGATGATGAGAGACGTACAGGAAAACGTGGTAGAACTTGCGTTTACGACGAAGTTTTAATGCTCTTAATAAATATTAAACGTATTACAGGAAAGAATATTTTTTAATTGTTTGTGAAACAAAAAATTACGATGCTTTTTACAAAAATGTAGTTAACTAGGTTGTAAGAATTTTAATTTTAATTTTAAATAACTCATGTTTTCGATCTACTTGTGTGGACTTTTTTTTACTTCCTGTCCATTAGTCCCGTGTATGTTTTTCTTTCTCGTGAATAAAGTTAGTCGTGCTTTAGACTCTGTGCAGTTGTGACGTGTATATGTGTATATTCCATTGCATGTATACGTTTAAAAGGTTATTTCTCAACAAAAAAGAGACAAAAATAAAAAACAACGTTTAAAAACGTTAGTTGACAATTCAATAAAGCAAGAAACAATTCAATAAAATCATATTAAAAATAAATTTAAAATTTTTACTGCGAAAACATTATAATTTGATATGAAAAGTAAGTCCTTTTCGACTGTTTAGAAAAGAAATATAGAATTTTTAAAAAGACTATGTAAACACGTTACTTGACATCTTGTCACTTGAAGTGTTTATCTTTGACAAAAGCATGTGTCTTTTATAAAAGATAAGATCTAAAGTTTTATTAAAAATAATCTTGTTTTTTATATTAAAAGCGTTAACGCATCGGTCTAATTAATAAAAAAATACAGTATAGACAGGTTTTTTTAACTAAAATAAAAAAGAAGGAAAGTGAGATTTCGAAATTGAATGAATTAAATTTTATAAATAATAGTAAAGCTTTTTTGTAGATAAAAGTCTCTGATATATCAAATATGATATAAAAGTTATAATTAAACTATTATGCTATTATCTTTTTTTAAATGTATAATTTTTAATAATATTATTTAAATTATTCGACTGAATACATTTCTGTCTATCAACTGTTTACTTCTTCCTGTAATATGTCGAAGATGATAATACGAAAAAGAGGAGAATGAAACGAATTTGTAATGTAGAAAGTAGAATAATGTCAGCAACTTTGACATTTGCGTTCATTAAAGTGATTTATTAAGGGACAATGCTCTTATCTTAAGTGCCACCTGTTTGTGAACAGAAGCTCGTTTAGAATATCGTCTTTAGATACTTATTAACAACTTTCTGGGAAAGACAACAGTTTTAAAACTGCAAATTTTATATATGCTAAAATATAAAAACAATGGAAAATATCATAAATAGATGTCGACTTAATAGATAAATGCATATAGGCTATTTTTTCCATAAGAATACATCTGCAGCTTAAATACTTTAAAATTTGTTTGCATCTTCCATAATTGTTATAATCTATCTGTCTGTATATATATTATGCTAAGGAAGTTTTTGTTAGCTTAATTCCTCCTAGATTTCTCGATACAATAATGCATCCTTAAGTTGACTAACGCTGATAATAAAATGAAATAATTGTTTTATGTATCAAGTAGTGATTCCGTTAAATTTTTATTTTTAAATTTTAAATACAAAATATTAATTTTTTATTATTTAAAATAATGTTTTCATTATTTTAGATGATTGCAATTGTTTCTTGATTATTTTAATATCTTATGGTGAACAATTTCTTATAAACACTTACTACAAAAGTGAATTTCAATCAAGAAAACTGTAAATTTAATTCACACACACTTATATATATATTTAATTTAAAATTTGTTTTATATTAAGTTAGATTGTCATTTAAACTATGTGCAGAAATGATTTTACATGAAGACAGTTCCTATTGAGTTTCGTATTTTTACTATCATTAAGATTATTTTCGTTTCTAACAAATGATAATGAGAAACCGAGTTTGATATTGCCACTGAGAATATTAGTCACAAATAATCGAATGCGAATTGTTATATTTTTAACGTCTGAGTAATGAAAATAAAATAAAGTTTTATTAAATTATCTAAAATTTAATTTAATTATTATAAATTTAATACAATGTTGTAAAAGCTTTCCTTTCTTTTGTACATAATTTTCAGAAAAGAAAACAAAATAATATAAAAATTCACATATAATTGCTTCTAATAATGACGAATATTGAATTAAGTAATATTACATGATCGATTTTTATAGTACTTTCTTCATCACCACATATTAAACTTTCTTCAAAGTGCTAATTGCATCTCGCGCACGAAGTACGCTTACTATTTTCTAAAAAATCTTTAATAAAATTATATTCAAAATTAAATTAAAGTTATTTAAAAAAAACTTTAATTTATGTAAATGTAATTTAATAAATTAGACTTTTAAAATTCACTTACCGCTTTTTAATAGGTAATACTGAATTTAAAAATACGCAATTCATTAACATTTTATAAATTTAATTTAGAATACTTATCTTAATTTAAAAAACTGATGAATATTTAATTTTTATATATTTAAAAAAATGTTTATAAACACCTATTTTAAATTTTAAATTAATTTGTTTTGACTAAGTTACCATAGTAGTCTCCTGCACAATTTATCTTTGCCAAATTATGATAAAGTAAGAAACTCAATGTCTTCGTTCCTGGAAACGAAGACATTGAGTTTCTACATAAGTTGAAAATCAAGAATTACAATGTTGTATTATATTTTAGATTATATATTTTAATTTTTATCAGCATTGCCATAGGATATGTTACGATATTATTATATAAATGATGCATCTATTCCAGTGATTAAGAGTTCAGGTGACCTTTAAAAATACTTAAACTTTTCAATGTTCACGAATGAAATTTTAATGGAAAACTATGTAATATAATGTACTTTTTATGAAATAAATCAGAATTTTAGTCTAAAAAATAATCAGAAAAAAAGACGTATTTATAATAACAAGCGTATTTCTTTTATTAACTTATTAATTTTTAATATAAAA